CAATAGTACCAGCACCCACCTGTACCCAGCTCAGCAGCGCTTGCTCTCTCCGAGATGCGAGCGAAACTTGCTTGATAGATTTCAAGGCTGATAAAATTCTGATCACTGGAAAGTTGTGGCTCTCCTTCTTGACATTTGATGATAATTGGATTACTCCCCTGCTGATTCGACCCAGGGGAGGAAGATGGACACAGAAGGACTACCGCAAGATTGCTTCTACTGGGACCATTCCGATTCTCATCAAAATATTGACAATTTCCAAAATCGTATCAATTTTTTGAATTTTCAGCACAACACCTCAAATAATGCTCACCTTGAGATGCATCCGTCGCCGTCGGCCAGCGGTTCACCAGTTTTTCACCAATTTGCAGGTCAGTACTAAATATTGCATTCCACAAGGGATCATTCGACTTGAGTCGTTCGATTGATGGTAGGCCTGGACAGTATCACTTGTAAGATCTTTTTCCATAACTGATTATAACCGAAAACAAGGAAAAAATCCGTTGATCACATGGGTGCCACTAGGCTTCATTACTTGTTTACTTGACTGTTTATCTCTTCGAGAATGCTTATTTTATGAAAAATTCTTGTGATTGAGTAACACTACTCATTTCCTAATGTTCCAAGGTAACAGGTAACTATGGATATGATATCTAGCCGAATTTTCTCGGATTATCTCTGTTTCGCCATCAGTCCGGCACGGATCGCCCACTTAGCGGACCAGTCCCTATCCATACGAAAATCCATCTCAACGAGTTGTCGTTGAGTGTGCTTGACCAGCGCCGCTCAGGGATGCTTCCCTGAGAGCTAGGCAGAGAAACATTTTTGAGCATGGATCGAATATCCAAGTATTTGTTGTTTTTGCTTGTGCTGTAGCCGCATGTAGGATGACGGGATGAAAAGGGTAAGAATGAACGGTGGGAAGGAAAAAAAGGAAAATCATCTTCGCTGAGTGAGCTTGAGATACAAGGTGCAGCCAACGGTAGTTCTGTCTCCTCTTTCTCATCTTTTATCAAGGAGCCAGAAGCTAATCCGTGTCTTTTCTGTTTGTAAATAAAAATTATTCAGTAAAATCAAAACTTCGTACCTCAGCGGATTCAGTGTCATCTGTGACTAAGCTGTGAATCAGGCCCTGTTTAACAGTATGTTTACTAACTAATGTCCTTAATGAGTCACAGTCTGGGAGGTGCCCCTATAAAAAGAGGTGTAAAGAGTTTGTGTAGAACTTGCCGACTTAGGATAAGTACTTGTCCAAAGTTTAATCCGACTGTGATGGGATGTGCTGGGGTTTTATCTTTCCCACTTGACGACCGCCGGCGAGTTTTTCTTCCGGCTCTCCGTAAGTCAAGAGTTGCCCGAAAACGCCGTCAACAAAGCAAATGGACTTTTGCACGTTGAGCAACGATTGCTTATGGCTTTCTTAATCACTGGGGGTAACTGAAGGGATAGGAAGGGGTACTCAGGTTAAGCTCGGCTCGATTTGGTTGTCAAGTAATCGACTGCTATGAGGAATCTCCTTCTACGGTCCAGCACAGTATTAGTCATGAAGGAATTCTAGATGTACATTAAAGTAGATTATTTGAGTACTTCTGCAGGACTATGCCTGCCTTACGCAGAAATCGGACTAGGATGGGAGGGGGTCTGATCGAATTTGATGGGGAAAGGTGAGTGGGGAATTTGCCCACGAACTGTAGTTCAATGGAAAAACGTTGCACTAGCGTCCTCCCAGCTCAGGACTTTACTGTACTTTTTCTCGAGCCATCAGGGTATTTGGTATCAACTGGAAAATCTCCCTCTAGACGGATATGACGGTTAGGGTGATATGTTAGAAGAACATCCTGTCTCAGCCGGACTTGTTCTGGCAGTGTAACTTTCCTCACCTCGTGTTTACCCTCAAGGGAATGAAACTAGTAATAATCCGGACCCAAAGTGAGTTTTATGTGAATAATTCTTGAGAATACATTTTCAGTGGCTCAACAACAAGCATCAGGGCAGGCCTGTATGATGCCGCAACAGATTGGTACGGGACCGTACAGGATACCAAGATGGTTCGTTCCAAATCTCCCTACCCGAGCTTTTGTTTATTCCTCGTGCACTTTTACATTTTGATTACTTTTCTCTCATCTTAATTATTACTTACTGATACGTTTTCCGTAATACTTGTAAGTAGTATATGGTAAATCGAAGACACCCCTATACGTATAGGTACTTCAATCCTGCTCGGGGACGTTGTGAGTTATTTTATTGGTCAGGATGTTGCGGAAATGGAAACAACTTTCAG